TGTACGCATATGAAGACACAGTTGTTAAAGGCTGTATAAATGCGGAAAAACTTGCCTTCACTGTCAAAAAAGCTTATTGGAAGATTCTTGTACTTATTGTGTGAGTTGTATTAACTTGTGTTGTTATAAATACTATTTTAATGTCAGTAGTTTTGTATTGACTTTCATAATTTATGTTAGAAATAGCGCAGTTCTGTGACAGTGAGCCAGCATGCACAATAACAGGACCCTAAAAGTGATACAATCAAATGAAATCCAGCCATCATTAATTTAATTATTTACAAATGTGCTTCTCTCACTGCGAGATGTGCAAATGTCTAAAGAGAAAAGGCCTTTTGCACATTTCTTAGCTGTGATTTTTCTTTTGTGAAATAAAATATGATCTGTGTTTTTGTTCCAGAAAATGTGAAACCAACATCTAGAACAGCTTGGAACCACGGCTATAAACCATCCAGAACAAGCCGTGTCTCAAACATATGTCTGTCTGGTGTGCGTAGGTGTCAGGGGAACTGCTATACGTCAGCCTTCAAGACAGGATGTAAATAAAACATGCTTATCTGTCAAACATTAGCCTGCATTACTGTTCCAAAACCTCTCTGAATGTTCCAGATTGCATTACTATGTCAACATTTCATCATCAGGAAATCCATGTAGGTACGGATCACACACACTCCCATTGCTTTCTTGCCCTTTAAGTCATTTTATTTGAATCAATACAGCGCTGGACAGTTCCTGGTGTTGAGCTCAGCATGTCTGTTCGTAGACCTTTTCTGACTTATGTTCAATAAGACATGTAGCTCTGCTGCTGGTTATATGGTCTTTGCAAAAGAGAAATAAATGAGCCCCTTATTTAGAGTGTAGATTGATCCAATCAATGTTTTCACCACAGGAGGAGGTTGATGGTGCGATTTTAGCTCTCTATGGGGTGCGATGTGCCTTTGCCTGCGCACCAATATAAAGAAGGATAATGGCTCAGTGCATGTGTAGATAAATGCTGCACTCAAAACACAGTGATGCTTCATTTGACGTGTCATTTGTATGTGAGAAGTAAATTATCTGGAGCAAATCTACCACCCTTGGCCAGAGCTCTCTGCTTATCCTTTTTAATTATCTCACTCTGCCTCTTTCAGGAAAACCTTACATCTTTTAATTTGCTACATACCTATCTTCCTCCCAACCCCCCACACTACTTACTTCTGCAGTCGGCAGGCCAGGCGTACGTCTCCACCCATTGCTGAGAGACTGGGGGGTAGGGTTGGAGAGACAGCACACGGATCATAATGGCTGGCCAATTATCAAGAGAGTGGGGGGTTGGGGAGTTGGGACGAGTGAGAGATTATGAGGAGAATGGATCAATACACCAGTCAGTTTCTAATGAGGGAAAGAATTGGTCCAAGTCAAGCAGATGGAAATCCTGCTCAGCCTGGGGTGGTCTTTCTGCACTGTCCCTCAGCAGCTTTGTTAGCGCTGCTTTGTACAACAGCGCCCCAACAGGGCAATGACTTCTATCACACTGGATCAGTGATAGTCAAATATTTACTGCGTGAATACTGTTTCTCTCAAGCTCTCCCAATCCACCCACATTCCACTTTCTCTAAATATTTCTTACATCGCTCGGGGCAGCTTTAGAAGAGCTTGAAGAATAATGGCTGTCCTTCCCCCCCCCCCTTTTAACCACCCACAACTGCCAGCACAGGACAGTAAACCCTACACCTCACCCACTCACCAAGCCCAGCAGCTCAGCTGTGCGCTACTATGCACTCACACTACGTGCACTACAGTATGTAGCTTACATGAAAGGAAGCAAGCTTACAATGCTAAACAGCTAATAGTCTGTGTTCTTTTTTTTCAAAACTGTGACTGGAATAAGCACTAAGCAACTGTTCAGTACCATCATTAGGCATTTGGTGCTGTTGTTCGTCTCTGGTTGCTTCACTATTTTCTACATCTGCCTTTTTTTCTTTTTTTCTGAGGGGCCTTGTGTTGGGTGGGGGTGTTATTTATGGCTGCTCTGTGCAAGTGGACACACACACAAACGCACACACACACCCTTTCACAGGATGAAAGGGCAGTCACACAGCCTGCAAACATGATTTTACAGCCCTGGGTGGAATGAGTGGTGGAGGAGAGAATGAGGACAGAGTACAAAAGGGGAAAGCCCTTAGATTTACAGGTCCCAGCAGTCAGAATGCAAACCATGTAGCAGCACACAGTTTTCAAGCCATTTTTTTTTACCCAAACACAGAAATAACATACCTGTCTTCTATGCAGAAAGACATTATGCTAAAATGTGTGTGCAGAAATGCATGGATCCACAAATACATCCAAAAAGGGGGGCAATGCTTTTTTCATGGTTCGTTTTCTTTTAATCACGACGGAAGACAATTTCCATATGTGATTTGTTCCAGGAACTCAATGTCTCATGATTGAATATCAGTGTGTGTGTGTGTACATGCGAGTGAGGAAATATGGAGCTTTGAAGGGTTAGAGTATTTTTGTGTGTTTTACACATTTCCCTGTTTATATATATAATTTCTGATATGTATGTGTGTATGCTTCTGTGTGATATGACCACTATGAGAAATATCAGACACCTTATCAAATACGATTGTGTATTTTTTAAGAGATTTTTGCCTAAAATATATGTATAAATAAATAGTTGGCTATTGTGATTTTGACAATATAAGTATTTATGGTAATAACAACAACATATAATTAACTGAACTATACTGTAAGAGGAGGGGATCAGTGGGCCTCAGAAAGAGAAGTCTCTCCCAGAGCCAGAGGGAAAACAGGCAAGACATGGATGGCAATGTAATTAAGCAAATGTGTTGTTCCATTGACATCACATAGGGGAGTGACTGTATACACATGATGACTTAATGGGAAGTGGGATGTTTATTCCAGTTTATACTTGGTAAAACTGCAATTAATTAAATCAATTTGGGTTTAAAAGCTCAAGTAAACATTTTATGAGTCCAAAAAAAGCAGCAGTCACTGCCTATGAAGCACCTACATGCTTTGCCACATCACAGAGTCAGAGTCAAACCAGAGACCTCGTAACAATCTGGTTAAGGGTGGTGTTCATGGAAGACATCAAATGAAATGCTTGAGAGAAGCCGGTAAACCATTTGTTTTATTTGTAATGGCAGCCTGCTCTTTGCTATAAATGTCTCCTGTGACTGTGATTCAAAACACGCCTTTTTTTAATAAAAATAGCGGCTGAATCAACATAAAAGGCTGATGCAAATGTGATGTGTATAGGTAAACCATTTTGGTTGGATGCAAGTGGTATAATGAGGGTTTGTGTTTCAGTGGATTTTCCTCTGGTGCATACTGCCTCTAGTGGGAAATACTGTAATCTGGCAGAGACGCTGGTGAAAAGGTGCAGCCTGGCCTCTGCTGGTAGGAGAGGCTACTGCAGCATTCTTTACAGTTAGAATGTACAGTATGGTCAACTCAGAGAAATACACAGTTTCTCAGGATCATTTCTAAGATATGCAAAGACGGTGTAGGAGAAATTTAATACATAAAACTAAACCGATTTTCTGGCATTAACCACACAAATTACAATGATTTAAACTCACAGTCACAGTTGAGTTCATGTCTTCACCCTGGATGACAAAAAAGTGTTTGTCTATGTGTATATTGTCCTATACTTTGTTATTTTAGATTAAATAGGCCTCTGGATGTCTATAGAATTACAATGCACTAACTAACAGGTCTGTATTTTTAACTGTGTGTTAAAATGTCCATGATTATGTTCATGCAAATCCTGAAATATCAAAAAGTAGAGATGTCCCGATCCGATCACGTGATCGGGGATCGGAGCCGATCACGTGATTTTCAAAAGATCGAAATCGGGAGAAAAAAATTGGGGATCGGGAATTTTTCTTTTTTTTTTTTTTTTTTTTATAAAATATTTTTATTATTTTATTTAATGTTACAAAACAAAAATGACCATGTTCACGTCTTAAAGTCATCCTGAGGCCTTAGTTTTGGTTTAAAATTACACAACATCATGTATGTGTTGCTTCTTTTGGGCTTGTTTTCATAGACCTGGTTGCTTATTTCTCTCAAATCTGGCAACAGAGTGGGCGCAGTGTCTAATAGTAGCAGTAAGCTAACGAGAGGCTACGTTCAGCTGGTGACTCGGGACAGAGAAAATGTCAGGAGTTTGGAAGTATTATAAAATTGAAAGCGAAGGCAGTGTAACAGCCAGATGCAATGTTTGCAAGAAGGAGGTTCCGCGTGGTGGAAAGAACAGAGCTACGTTCAACACGACCAATCTAATACAAACACCAACAACAACACGACGAGTACACAGCGGCCACTCAGGTAACGGCACTGAAACAACCGACACTTTCAGAGACTTTTAAAAGGAAAGAGAAACTGCCCCAGAACAGTGAAAAGGCCAAAAAAATTACAGCCAAGATAGCTGAATTCATCGCGTTGGATGACCAGCCGTTATCAGTTACCTTTTTTTTCTCTTAATGCATTGCATAAAGATCGGATCGGGAAAAATCGGTATCGGCAGATTGTCAAAATCAAATGATCGGAATCGGATCGGGAGCAAAAAAAGGTGATCGGGACATCCCTATCAAAAAGTATTACATGATGGGACTAAACTTGGGGTGATTTATAGCCTCTAGGGCAGAGAGACAGATACAAACTAAAAGAAGGAAGACAATGAAAAGAGTTCAAGTGGTCAACCGCAAACAACAATAAAATCAGCAACAAGGGTGTCAAGGGTCGGCCAAAATTAAATCCTCCAAGTCACATTTATCAAAAGTAACCTTTCAAAACATCCTGCAATTTTGTATACAGTAGCTTGTCTTTCTGTCCAACACTGCCTACTATGGGTTATAACAAGACTTCCTACCACACGCATCTCTGCCTTGTTCAGCAATTCAATTCAGTTATAGTAATCTGACTTCCTTCAAAACATTTTTTACTGACACTAAACCTATAATTGTAGTATGATGTAATGTTTCACTGACCTGTTCTCTGAACTGCTCCTGAGAGAGGCAGTCCGTCATATTGACGCATCCCAACAGGCAGCCGGTGGGGTAGTCTTTAGGAAACCTTGGATCTGCACAGAAAACAAGAGCAATCAAGGATCCCCTAACACACTCCGACCTAGTAGTTGATTTCCAAGATGTGTGCACTTCAATAAAAGTCATGTGTGTAAGACATCTTGTAGCAAATCACTTCCAGTATTTACAGTCTTGTTCTTGATTCACTGTGTACACTACGTGTTACCTTTCTTGTCGATGTGGCGGTACATGGCTTCCACCTCAGCAATCTCCTGTGGAGACGGCTGCTTGGCTGCAGCAGCAATCCAAAGACGACCCCGATGGGATGAGTACCAAGTCCGCCCCTCGACCCTGCACACACACAAAATGAAATGTAACCTCAGCCTAAAGGAAAACACATCTCCATAAGAGTTTTAAACTCTGTTAGCACTGCGTTTTGTTTAATCTTTCCTTTGCTGCTTACCTCTTGATGCCTCTGACCAGCAGTGTGGCCCATGGTTGGTGCATGCTCAGGCACCAGCCCCCGTCAGCCATCTCCTGCAGGTCCTTGTCTTGGAGCCTCAGCTTTTGACGATCTTCTCCTCCCTTTTCCTCCGCCGAGCTCTTTCCCTGCTTCGTGTTTTTCTTGTAGCTTTCACTGCCTCCGACATCCACCCACTGGAAAGTTTATTCATTTTCAGAACCATTTTAATGGTAGATAAAGGACTATGCTGACATAGGCCGCATGTAGGATAAACAGCTGTTGATTTCAATCCATTTAACTCATGTTCTAATGAAATTGCATATTGTTACACTTGTCGAACGAAGAGATATTTTGATATGGAGAGGTATACAATTTCCACTGTTGTTCCCAGTCAAAATGGCAGAAATGACCTACCTCAGGTGCAGCTTGCATTATGTTGGGGTTGACCAGGTCTCCGAGGGTCTGCCTTCCACCTTGTCTCGAAAACATTGGGGATTTTGAAGGAGAGTCGCTGTTCATAGCCCTGAGGGTCTCATCCAACCTAATTTGCACATCACAAGGATGAAGAGTTTAGCGTTAATAAACGATTAAATCTACCATTGCAGCCTTGATTCAACTGTTGTGAGATCATCTTACTTGTCGTAGTAGTCGTTGAGGTTGTTGCCTTCATCAAGCACTTTTCTACCAGCAAAGTCCAGCGTGATCTTCCTATCCTTGCGAGAGGCATGGCGAAGGTCTCTCAGCTCCTCTTCCTTCTTCTTCAGCTTTTCTCTCTCATTGGGTGACAACCACTGATTGGATTCAGTGGCAAAGTAATCCGACTCATCATCCAGAACCTGTGTTCTCTTCACACTGGAGTTTAAAGGGACAATACATAAATAAGTGAGTTTTATCAGCAAGTTTCCTGATTACATTCTGTAGTAATTGATATCTCCATTTAAAGTATGGACATATAGTAATCACATCTATTCCTGTGAAGTTATTTCCTTGATTTAGTGTTTATAATACCTGTTCTTATCATATTCCAGCAGTTTGTCCTTGTGCTGGACAGCTTTTTCCAAGCCAGCCTTCATCTTGGCCTCTTGGTTTGGTAGATAATCTCTTTCTCCACCATCTGTCACCAATTAAAAAAACAAATGTAAAGCATTAATCCAAGTCATTGTTTCACAGATTTTATTATTTAATAATACAGACTATTTTTGTCTCTTACCTCCCATAAGCTTCTTTCTTAGCTTCTGGCTTTTGTTGGAGTCTCGTTGCAGGATCTCCTGCTCCTCTCTTGTGCACACCTGAATCAGAAAAAAGCATATTTAGCAACACGAGTACCTCAAAAAATAAATGAATAATATATATATATATATATATATATATATATATATATATATAAATTGAAGGACCTATACATACCAGGCTTCCACAGAAGAGGCAGGGTCCAGAGCCCTCTTGGTCACATACGATGCGACCACAGCTGATGCAGTTATTGATAAGATTGTGCTTTTGGGCGAGGCACTCACAAGCATGTCGACCTGGGAACAAGATGGACATCTTGTCTTGCCCCTCTTTAGCATAGAGATTGACAAACTTACTCTTCTTCTTTGTTGAGGATGAACTTGTGTTTTCCTGGGCCTGATGTCAAGAGAGATGAGAAGAGGAAACAAAATTAGATCAAATAAGTAGATGGGGTGGACAAATTAGCAAAACATCAAAAAGGAAATGGAACCTTTACAAATGTCGTATGTCGTTTTTTAACTCAAACTATGAAAATGACATCATAACGTAGGGGTTAAAATAACAAATACTTAGGGTTGTGTGAACTCACCCTCATCAGATCAATGGGGGTTTTCACTGCCTCTGGCTCAGGCTCTGATTGGCTCACAGCCATTACTTCCTGTTTGTTACGGCCCTTGCGTTTAGACTTTTTCAGGGAGTCTTTGCTCATGTCCTGTGAATCTAGGAAAGTAGAGCAAATTACAGATAGCATGTTTGAAATGCAATATCCCAGTTAATATATTTTCATTCGTAAAAGTATTATTCATTATACATTATTTACAACGATTAGTAGAGTATCTTGCATTGCAGTTCCATAGAAGGTTGTTTAGCATTGGAGAAGATTTATGTACAATAAACATCAAAATAGATGAAAGACATCCAACTGTTGGGCCTACCTGGAGATGATAAAGGTTCCTTGAGATGGAAAAGACTTGAGCTATCTGTGGTCTGTCTCTGAGTCTTCATCCATCTGCTGACGAACTCATCTATGAACAGTCCTTTCCTCCCATCTGTGCCCTGCAGGAGGTCTCCCATATAATCCTTAATCTCCTCAGCATTTTCGATGGATAGAACATATCTAGACAGCAGGATAACACAATTACCATTTAATGTAATAACATTTATTGGGTATTTAGGTCATGTTATATGGAAGCTATTGAAGATATTCAGTAAGTGTACACTACTTGTCAAAAGTACTGATATACGATTCCACATTGACTTGGGGTCATCAGCTCATTAGCTGGTACAAAAGCTAGAAATAAAAAAAATGGTTGTGTGCTCCGTGTCTACTGTAGTAATACAATGATGCATTGATTTGGAGTCATGTGTGCACAAGCTATTGTTAGAAATCAACAACTATTCAAATACAACCCTTTTTTTATATAAAAATATTGAAGAAAATATATTTAGAAGTAGGACTAAAGTTCAAATAAAAAAGGTGTGTCCTACTGTAGTAATAATACCTGGTATGAATTTGGAGCCACTGGGACACATGATTTGAAAGCTATTTTAAAAATAAACAAAACTATTCTTTTTTGTATTATCAGTCATCAAATGAGGTTTGTCACATAAGACTTATTTATTATACAAATGTTTTCAATATTGTTCACTAACATGGGATAGTAGGGTTTTAATAATAACATTATTGTTGGTCCCTTAGTGAAACTACTTAAAAATGATTTACCTATTTACCTAATATATCATATTTCAAAGACTTGCATAGACTCGTATTGCACTATTTCACTTCTTTAAACAATTTTTCTTCTTGTATTTACTATTTACTATCACTATATTTTTGTTTATCTGTGTTTTGTGTTGCACTGTTGGAGAAGCCTGTGACACAAGATTTTCATCGACATAACTACACTGTCGCTATTGTTCGTTTGACAAATAAAGAACCTTGAAACTTGAAACCCTGTGTTAAAAAGCGAGGGCTCTGATGTGAGCTTACTGTTCAATTCAATTCAAATAGCTTTATTAGCATGACATGCAGTACTGCCAAAGCTTTGTACAATTCCGACATCTATAAATAAATATACATTATACATATGTTAAATTCATAAACATTTGAAACAAATGCAAGAACGACATCCTGTTACAAAATGTGTCTTTTGTAAATTGAGTAATTTTTTTAATCTTTAATATTTTGTATGCATGTTTTTTGGTTATTATTAAGCTGTCTTTGGCTCTTTTCTTGCTGTGACAAAGGCAAATGTCTCCTCTGTGGGAAGAATACAATTATTCTGATTCTGTTTCTGATTCATGTTTTCTTTACAAGGAAAACAATATACCTTTTGAACATGAACTAGGAAAATACAAATAAAAAAACACATGACTGCTCTGAAACTGAGGAAGAAGACGCTGGTGAATGTCTGTCGGATATCCAACCTAAAACAAGCTTCTCTTGAAAGTGTGATTTATATTAAATAAAGCCAGACAAGGTAGTGAATGTAAGCACCGGTTATCCGCTAGCCAACAGATAGCTTATACACCTGTCAAACTCTTTACCGGCTACTGTAACAGCTGTAGGCTCAAATGTATCAAAGGAAAGCGGTAGATGTATTTAACACACACATAACTTTGGATAAGCCCCTGACAAGACATTGTATGTTATCAAAAAGCAAAGGTAAAACAGCAATAGCAAGCTAGCTGGCATTTAATCTCGGACTCTGGACAGATGCTAGCTGGTTGCCTGTCAGTCTTTAACAGAGTATTCTCAGCGATAACTTACTGGACGATGTCTTCACATGCCTCCAGCCCGAACTTGTGGTGTAGCTGGTTCACACACCACTGCAACAATGCCTCCGACATCTTTAACTGAAATACTTTACAGTCAAAGCTCACCAAAGTTGCGGTGGCTTGTCAAACACAAACTGACTGTGTGTTTCCAGTCGACGACATAACAGAGGCGCACACATTGAAAGTAAGTGCGTGGCAGCAGTTAATTTCTTCCGGGGAAAGAAACCCGTGCTGGGTTAAGGTTCCTCTCAACTAGTATGATTTATCAAACATCAATAGTGAGCTGTTGTGTTGAATCTATTAAATGACATAATACTCCAAATGTCAAATAAATGAATTATAAATAAATGCATGAGGTTAACACCGTTGCGGAATTTCTTTGAAATATTTGTTTTTAGGTGCTCCTTATTTTGTTTTTCTTTTGTTATTAAGTATGCCTAATAATTAACAAAATACATGTTTTTGTTTTTTTAATAAAATCTAATATATCATTGTTTTCCTATTTATTTTTGATGTGTATATTGGATTTTATTTTTTGACTAATGTATTCTGTGCACAATTCTTTAATATGTGATCAATACAAATGAAATTAAAAAAATATATATTAATTTTAAGTTACACTCAGCTTTTCACATTTTAATATGTGTATTTGATAACGTGTAATTGGGTGTACCTGTTAAGGTCAGACACTAGATGGCAGTTTTGTAACTTGTAAATAAATGCAGGTACCTTCAGTTAGAACTTTAAAAAAAACATTATTTACCAAAGTAAATAATATGCTTACTCTATAATAAGGTGGTGTTTACTAAATAGCCATATCCTTATTTATTGTGTTGGAAAGTAGGTAACATCTGTACAGCAATACAACCTTTTTTATATGTGGTCCCTATCTTCAAATAGAAAAAATACATTTATGTGTTAAACTTCACAGTACAAAAATCCTACATTTGACATAACATGAAAAAGCAGACTTGGCAGTAATCATTTATTTTTCTAAGAATGTTATAATAAAAAATATGCAACACGCATTAAGTGAGACAAAGGAACAAGGTTATGCTTATGACAATATAACTTGTATTAATAGAAATCCAACTTACAACACATAACTGTTTTGCATATACAAGTACTCGTATGCATATGATGCAACAAATATATTTCAATACAAGATATATAGAGGTACTGTAGATGTTCTGTTTAGTACACAGAGTAGATTTTAGTGAGATTAGATGCATTGTAAAGAACAATAGTACACAGGCAACATTACATAACACAAAACAATAGCATTCATTGTAGGTTTATTAGCAAATTACACCAGTTAAACAATTCTTAGTGTCTTCATGTTAAAACAGTACAAGGGTGTTAAATGTAGATGTTTTCCTTTAATATGCCATTTGACTGTGTAATATAAAAGTCAAGCCGTAAATAGTTTTTATGCCATACATACACTTTGCCTTAAATCCTTAATTTTAACTTTGACATTTTGACTTTAATTTGAGTTTAATATTTGGTTAAATACAAGTCCCAATTAGCTTTCACTTATCCAAATCCTGCCCAATGAGTTTAAAAATGTCAATCTGTGATGAGGGAGATTGGTTTAGGCTTTTTTTGATAAAGCCCTTAATTGAAAAAGTCTTTGGAAATGGCCTCTACAAAGTTGGGTGCTGACATGAGAATTCCAATGGTGCAGAGGATAGTGAACAGAGAGAACGCCATGAGACAAAGCCTGTCGATAACAGCTGCAGCAAATTTCCACTGGTTGCACACAGACTCGTCCTCGTCTTGGTTACGGAAGCGTTTGGCAATGTAGCGCACTTCATCCAGGATCTTGGCCATCTCTGGTTCCAGGCAGCCTGCAGACTGGCCCTGACCTGCGGGGAGGAGAATATCCTCCTCACCAGCACGGCCAACCAGCCGCCCGCAGAGGACTCCAGATTCAGCAGAGGTTGCAACTGTAGAGTAGTGGAGGCTTTCCAGGCCACGGACGCCAACACAGAGCAAGTTGCCATTTTTGGACTGGGAAGTGCTAGCATTGAGCTCCATGCTGGTCAGGCTGCTCCGTGGAGCCTTGTTGTGACAGGCTGAACGTACCCGCTCTTCACCCGGGCGCTTCATGCGTAGGAACCAGGCACACCAGTTCAGGAGAATTACACGGGTCTTTGGGATGAAACAGTAATGAATGAAATTAATTAAAAATGGTTCTTGATAACTTGTGATAAATTAAGGATACATCCACCAAAGAACATACAAGTCTGTCTTCATCTTTCCTTCTACATGTATATTTCTTTGTGGGAACACACACGTTCACTTTCACAGAAGCCCAATCAGCTCTTTGTTTCACAGAGGTGCTTCAGATAAAACCAACACTTTTCCCAATCAGTCCAATCACAATGAAACAGTGATTATATCATTGCCCCAGAAAATAACAGTTTTTTGATTGGTGTCACGTACACAACTTCAAATGTCTGGTAGTATAAAGTATATTAAATAGCACATGTTTGTGTTGTATCCTTCATTGATAGGAAAACATTTTAAAAAACACTATTTGTGAAGATTTGTGTTTATGTTTTCATACTTTCACAACTGGATAACACACTTTAGGATATTTGAACACCTAAACACCTCTCAGCACATTTCATGTTAAAAATACCATCTGGTTTACACAGTGTCCTACTCAAGCAAATGAATATTTATCCTAATGAAGTTAAGCTAAATCGACTTTAACCTAATAAAAAACGAAAGCAGCATAATCAAAGCTAATCTCGATAGTTTATCATAATGCACTCTACAGTTTTGGGGTGTGGCTCGATGGAAATGACTAAAGTGTTGTTAATGGATAGGTGACAGATAATTGTGTTATATGAAACGACACTCACCCACTTTGGCATCTTGGCTCCATCAGGGTCATGGTGGTGATATTGTAACACAATAACTGTAGCAATTACAGATAGACCAACAATGACCATGGTGGTGGCAAAGTACTGAGCTGGGGGAAAGAGAAAAAGAGGAGACAGTTAGAATTGATACAGAAACTTGTGTCATGCATATGCAGGTAACATTATGTGAAAAAATAAGCAGGATAAAAACATTTTTCAGTATGAGTTAAAGGGCTCACAGAGAGAAAAACTCCCATCTTGCCTCAAGCACACTTTTTGATGTGTCTAAACTAAATACATTTGCATTTCAATGTTTTACATATGGTGCCTCTGATCTCTAAATAGAAAAAATCCATGTGTTGGTTGGCTGCTTAAACTTACTTATACTGTGACATTGGGAGAACTTCTGATGAAAAATGAAAAACTACACACATTTTCACCAGTGTCTTCCCATTGACAGCAGATGACAACCATGGCGCCTGGCTTACCTATTAAAGGCACCGAGTCCGATGTGGCGGGCATAATCTCTGCAACCAGCAGCATAAAGACAGTCAGGGAGAGCAGGACCGTAATGCCTGGCAAGGAGGCAAAATCTCAGTAAAAATTCATAACAAAACTATTAAATGGTAAGAGAAGCGTAAAAATCACACAGTAATGACAGGGCTTCATGATTCTTTGATGTTAAATGTCTGCACAAGTTGGATGTAGAAGGTCAGTCAAACGCACATCTCCATATTGTAAAAATATGCACAAAATTAAGTGCGCTGTTCCCAGATTTTCAATGTTATGTATACTAAACATTTTAAAAGTTTCCAGTTGTAATATACAGAGTTCCTATTTGATGTTTTCATTTTGTTCCTATTTTGCGTAAAGTCCTCCAATATGTTCCATGTATTTGTGATGCTTCTCTTCCACAAATTGGGTACTGCACTGTAGCCAAATGTGACGGGGAAGCTTATATTGTGTCACAGTCGCTGACTACATCACCTGAGAAGGTTCAAGCACGGAGAGAAAATGGCTTTCTGTTAGAATACCTGTGAGCAGAGTTTTCTCTAATGAGCTGACATCACTAAGCCACTGGCTCTTTGGATGTCTCATTATAAACCTGAACTTCTCAACAGGATTAAGTCACATCTTAATTAACTGTAGGAATGCCGATGTACATTAGACATCTCTGGGGAAGAAAACTGCCTATATTTTCTTATATTCTTATATCTTTAAAGAAAAATTGGAGCATGTGAATCCTTTTAAATTTGTATAACCGGTATACTGTAAATATCATATCGAATTATGTATACTGAAGAGAATAACAGTTAGCCATAGTTAACCTAAATAAAGCAAATTATTTTTGTTCTCAGTTGTTTTTAGCCATGTACATTATGTAATTCTATTGGCGAGATTTTAAGCATTTAAGAATTATATCTGAATATCTCAAAAGCAAACTATCTTAATCTGGAAATATAATTTCTAAAAGTAGAACATAATAGGTTGCTGATAATTTTTCAAATATTATTTTAAATGCTATTTTGTAATGCAAATTTTTTAAACAAAAGATAATCAACCCTTTGAACAAATAAGGAGAATTATATAACACAGGAACACAGTATTGCTGATAAAAACTAAGATTATAAGCAACTGTTTACAACACTAAATACAGAGTCACGATACAGACACTATGATAGAAAAGATTCACATAATATTACTGGTGATCCAAATGTGCACAAACATGATTTTCTCGACAGCGCAATGTTATCTAAATAAAATCAGGGTATAAATGCAGCCATGAAAACACATTTCTCAACAAAGTGTTCACCCATTCTCAAATAATATAATGACTTCATATATCAGTAAATCCACACACACACACACACACACACACACACACACACACACACACACACCAACCACACACAACACACACACACACCACACACAGCACACACACACCCACACACACACACACACACACACACACACACACACACACACACACACACACACAACACACACACACACACACACACACACACACACACACACACACACACACACACACACACACACACACACACACACACACACACACACACACACACACACACACACACACACACACACACACACACACACACACACACACACACACACACACAGCTAGTGTTATGTCAGCATGAAATGGGCTCAAACATTCAAGTCAACTGTGACAATTGAGATAAAATCATACCGTTTTCCCGGTCCACTGACAGTTCAGTCACTCAGTGCTGATTATCAGATTACCTCACAAGGCCACAGA